ATATCTACTCAGATTGCAGTCATTGCAAACCGCACAGCGGAAACAAGATAAATTCTTGTCAGATAGAATTAACAGAAATGTACGACGCAAAAAGAAACATTTAATTCTCAATTTATTGATCGCATCGATTGCGACCGTGAATTGGAGGGAATTCTAGTTCAATCCATTATTAACAGGGAGGGAAAAAAATCGATCATCGCACATGTTACAATTCTTGTGGAGTAATCTTGGTGAATTTCACCAGTTTCTAGGCGCGAATTAAACGGAATGGATCTATTCTTTTTGTTCAGCGTCTCTCATGGTGAGTCTTCCATTTGCAAGTAGATCGGATATGTTTAATCATAACAAATGAAAACAACAATCATTGATCACATTGCATTGCATCAATTGATTGATTTACTTGATTATTCTATTGAGAAGTCAATTGCTAGATTAAATGTGCATTGAAAACTGGTTTCTAATCTTCTCACAGACTCAAACACAACGAACAGTTTAATTCTGCAGTTAGTAAAATTATTATCGTACGTCCTTGACTCTGTTATTGAATTATACATTAATTCATGTAACAAATTGATGCTTTTAAATTTTTCTTTAAAAATTTAATAATACAGCAATACCTCGCATAGTCCGGGTAATCTGTTCCGACAAAATCCCGGACTTTTTAAAACCGGACTAATCGAGGACTTTGAAATCGAATAAAAATAATATGTATAGAGGAAAAAATGATGATGATTTGTCTTGGAAACGCACTATTCGAGGTTTTGCTGTACATTTAGAATTACGATCCTATCAAATACAACTAAATTAAAAACTTCTAAAAAAGTAGTAATATTTCTCAATTTTACTTTCTATAAACTCTTATGTATAATTAAGTAATAATTTATTTGAAAAAAATATATAAAATTCAGTAAAATGTATTATTAATATTATCACATATTTTATACTATTAATTAGTAAAATAATAGTTAAATTTAATAAACTCATTGAAAATCGTTACAATTATTAAATTAACGAATACATAATTCGGGAGCAGAAATTTCATGCTGGTAATATCTATATAACCGATAATAATGCGTATTTATTGATACAGTATTGACCGATCGTAACGATGCTACTGCTCACACATTTGCACTACGTAGTGTATCAACATTTTTGCGAACGAATGGCGGATATATCCGCCCAACTGTTTTATACAAAAACTATGTTTATGAATTTTTTTATATATGACCAGTGTGGAGACGGAATTATCGAATCCTAGTTCTTTTTCGGATCATAAGACGCCTTCTTTTATATAGATAAATCCGAAAAAAGTAGTAATATTCCTTAGTTTGTTTACTTAAATTTACTCATTGATAATCGTTACAATTGTTAAATTAACAAATACATAATTCGGGAGCAGCAAGTTCATTCTGGTAATATTTATATAACCGATAAGAATGAGTACTTATTGATACAATGATAAAATAATAATTTATATTTACAGAGCTTTTAGTCGTGTAAAGAACCATTGATTAAAGTTTCGTTGCGTAAACGGTCGCTAAACATCGATCGCATAAATGTTATAGTAGATATATAAAATAATAACAATCATTATAAAGTATTAACCATCATTGTTAAGAACAGCTTTGAACCAAGAGATGGCGCTTCAGTATTTTTTTTTAAATTTTTGCATCATAAGGTCTAATATTGTGCGTAGTAACTTAAATATGCTCAAATTATATTCAGTGTTTTCTATTATATCATGTAATTAATTTCAGTAGTCAAAATTATGTAAAACATTTTTTTTTTTAAAATCTAATGTACCTAATTAAATGAAAACAAAATCAAATACAGAAAAACTAAATAATTTTAACGCTTTATAACATTGTTTATATAATTATATCTACTTGTCATACATACAGAAATATACATTTATGTATTAAAAATTCAAGTTTCCTTCAACATTTAATTGTACTGAAACACTGATTTTGTTTATCTACAAAAAAAAAATAGATATTAAAAATGCATTGTTATGTATGCCGAGAGATTGTTAATTTGCTGGGAAATTCCAATATAAAATAATACAACAACTTTTCATATATATATAAAAAAAAAAAATAATCGCGGTTTTCGTTTTTCAATGTAAAAACAGATTTGCGGTATAGAATGAAAGCTATCTGCAAGGATGAATCTAGTTTGAAATTAATTTCAGTCTACATCTATTGAGACATAATTACCTGGCATAGTCCGGCTTCGATCAGTCCGTATTCACTATACCTCCATAACTGTCCGGTTACAGTCAACTAGATGAATATAACCGGACAGTTTGAAACTTTCATTATCCAAAAGAAAGATTAATACATAAAATTATTTTTTATTAATCATTTATGTCTCTTTTAGTGCGGTTTATTTTTATCATTTTTTTGTATGTATTTAGTTCCTCAATTAATCCAGTTTCAAAGAGTCCGCGTAATTGGTGTAATAGATTACCAGCACTATGCGAGGTATTTGTGCATATTAAACACTTTTAGGGTAAATAAAGATAATCAAGGTACAAAAGAAACTGTTAAGAAAGAAGCATTATTGTTATTATTTGTAAATGCAAATGATCTAAATTCCGATATGAAAATGTATCATATCCCTGGATTTTCCAATGAAATTACGCAAATTGAAAACTCGGAAATCTGATATAGTTTATATCGAAATAATTTGCGAAATGAAAATAATTATTAACACTGTGTTATGTATACGTAAATTGATGCATTAGCTCTCAATAGATAGCGTGTTAAAA